TCATCTTCGTAGTGAATTGCAGATAGAAGTTGATACTAATCGTCAGAATGAGAGACGAATTAATCAATTAGAACAGAATTATGCCTGATGTGAGAAAGAAATTCAAGATCTCAATAGGGAGATAGAGCGCCTTGAAAATGCTTCAAAAGAAGAGATAGTAGAGTTAAAATCTGAAATCTCTACCCTAAAAAGTTAGCTATATCAAGCTAGAAAAGATGTGCGAGATAAGGGAAAATATATTTCTAGTTTAGAAGAGCAGTTAGTAGAATTTGAGAAACAAGTTAAAAAATTGTGATACCAGATCAGAAGCATCTCATCACGAAAAACTTCGCTTGAACGAGGGAATTCTCCAGACTTGTATAATTCTGATGATAATATGGCCACAATCACAGAGCTAGCAAATGCTATAGATGGTTATGTAGATAATAGAACAACAACTAGGGATATTCTTATAGACTAAATAAAAAGAGCTACAAGGCAGATACGCTAAAAAGAAAATAATTTGCATCAGGATTTAGTCTGTAAGCAACGAAGGTATTATGATGCAAAAGCTAAGCGTGATAATGAAATTATACGAAGGCAACTTGCTGAAAGTAGGATAACTAATATTATTGGTGATCTCCATCAATATCAAATTAATACTCAAAACCAGGTAAATAGAATGATAAATAATATGGCAAGAAAACAAGCCCGTATAGGTGTGCTGGTACAAGAAAAATTTGCCTTACAATTATTGTATCAGCGAAATGCCCACCACTTACAGCGAAGTAGAGGAGATATAGGTCTGTTAGAATTTAATCGAGACAGGTTCTATGAATGATACAAGAAATGGAAAAATAAAACCCAAGCAGAGCGTCAGAATAATTTAAATTTACAGGGACAAATTTTGGCGCTTCAGAATAATCCACCTAATCAAGTAAACATGGCAGGAATACCTCATCCATATTTCGACTGGGATGATAGTATCCCAGACTNTTTGGTATGTATTAAAGATAATAAATTATTGTAAAATTTTCAATTATCAATTTAATTTATAACTCAATTATGGTTAAAAAGTATTTATTATAAATTCGAATGTCATGATTTTATTAGAAATGAAAATAAATCACATTTCATATATTTTACATTTTATAGTCCTAATTCCCCTTTAAACATGAACTCTTGTTTACGTTTACAGTATTTGTTATGGCGAATTTTTATCACCGGTTTTCTCCATGTTTTTCGTTGATTTTTATTTCTTCGGGCTATATTTCATTGATCAGCATTATGGCTGTTTACGTAATGGATAATAAAACATGCCTATAATTTTATTTGCCATTAGATTTTTTGAATTTTTTTTTTCAAATTTAATTAATATACAAAAATTAGAATTACGTACAGTAATAGCACATGGACCAATCTAAATTAAGGAATCATTTATTGTAACTTTTGACATCTATTTTTATCAAAAATAGATTTAATTTTATATATTTAACTTTAATTATTTTTTAAGCATATGATAGTCATGATACCCAGAAATTTTTTTAAAAGAAAATTTTCTTTTTTAATACTACATATTTATGTATTTTGTAAGTATATTTGTGAGTATAACAGGATTCTTAATTCATAATAATCATTTATAATAGTATCGTCAAATTTCTGAGAACATAAGAAAATTACTATTGAATGTAATTATTAAATTATATTAATATAACGACTTTTGTACACCTATATAATAAGTTTTATTAGTATTATTTGTGAAGATATTCAATTCATACCTATTTGTCAACCAATTTCATCATTGAAGAACATGTTGATAAAAATTTTTCTTACAATCTTAAAATTTTTCAAAAATTAAGCTTGCATTAACATTTTTTTTTATTTAGATTCTATTGGAGCTTTTAAGTTTATTTAAATAAAAGGATGTTAAAATATATAAATTGTTTGAAATTTTACGTATGTTTACTATACTATAAAACACTGAAATTTGACAGACTTTTTCAAGAATTTGGAAACGTGACTGCTATTTATTGATGCAGACCAGTGCATCGGAAAAAATATGACCCGAAAAAATTCATTTTTTATTGTAACTTCTACTTTTGGTTAAATATTCCCTTTTTAACAACTCATTCGGGGCATATTGAATTAAAAAAAAATAAAACTTTTTTTTCGAAAAAAAATTTTTCAATAAAATAAATTTCTAAAATAACCAAATGGGAACTAACCTTGATAATTTAATTATATGTTTATTTCAATTATATTGCAGCACTGATCCTAAATTGAACCTAGAAGACATAATAAATAACAATTATATATAAAAGAATGTTAGTAAAAAAAATTCATAAAAAAATAAAATAAAAAAAAGGAAGGCAAAAATTTTTGGCAATACAATTTGTTGCAGCCCTTCATACTGTTCTAAAGCACCATAAAGGACAGTAATAGCTGAAAGTTAAATAATTAAAAAAAAATTCTGTAACCAGAACTAAATCAGCTATACTAACTTTGCCATCAAAACGTACACATGATCTGATAGCAACCATTATAAATATTGGTTAATATTTTTGATTGGCCAGATTGACCACATGATCACATGTTTATTTGTTTATCGAATCTCATTTTCAGTATAGGTTCGTTCCCTCGGTTCTTTCAGTCTCAAGGTATTTTTCTTTTTTTCTTTTATTTTTATTTCTAACTTATATTCTTACACTTTATCTCTATTTCAGTGTTTTTAGGTTCTTTAGTCCTTCCAGTTTTGAAATTAAGGTTCAGTTATTTTCCACTTTACGTTTTTGTTTCTTACTCATTATTTTATTTTTTTTTATTTCGTTTCTGTTTCATATTTCATTTTCACTAATTTTATTTCATTTTTTTAGACCTTTTAGTTCTTTTTTGGTTCTACAATTAATAAAGGTATGTTTTTTATTTATTATTTTTTTTTTATTTCATTTCTATCTTATATTTCATTTCTTACTAACTTCATTTTTTTTTTTTACTTTATGGTTTTATTTTTTACTTGGTTTCCTATCATTATTTTTTGCTCACCAACCTCGTATATCATGATCATTTTTTTATTTTTTGTCTCTCATCATTTTTCACCTCCTATTACTTCTCATTATTCCATACTTTTGATCTGCCATTATTTTCTATTACATCTTTTCATTTTCCATTATTTCTTTTTCTCTCCTGTTTACTTCCCATCATTTCTTTTTGTCTCTCATCGCTCCTTTTCGTCTCCCATCACTCCTCTTCATCTTCCCATCAATCCTTTTTGTCTCCCATCACTTCTCTTCATCTCCCATCATGTCCTAGTATTTCTCTTTTTTATTTCCTACCATTACTCCCTTTCGTCTCCTATTACTTTCCATTACTCCATTGTTATTTCATTTTTTTTATTAGCATTTTTCTCCTTGATCATTGTAATTTACTTATCTTTTTATTTATTGTTATTGTTTCTTTTATTTGTTTTACTTCATTAAAAATACATTGATTTTTTTCTTTAAAATCGTAAATATGTGACTTAAATTTTAATATTTGCAAATAAAATTTCATTAGATAAGATTATTTATAATAAATATGTTTGCAAAAAAATTTTTTTTTTAAAATATCTTTTGCGATAAAATTTTAATTTAGCCGATCAAAAATTAAAAAATCCGATCAATAAATTTACTCTATATTGTACATCATGTGGCATATTTGAAAAAAAAACCCCAGGCGACAATCTCCCTTAAATTTTTATTATTTTACTATTTTAACTTATAATAAACCGAAATCTCCATTTCTCTATACTTAATTTACTCATTATAAATAGAAATCATCATTTATTCATTTTATTAATTTATTTATTTTAACGAAGCAAAAGGGAGATCATATTTATAAATTGTCCGAAGCGTTAGCGAAAGACTATTTACTGTACTAGCAAAATTTGGGTTAACCCCCCTGTCACAATCGACAATTTTATTTCTTTTTTTGAATATGTATCACAATTTATGTAACACTTCCTGTTTGACCCCTGAAATATGCTAAATAAATGTAGATCGCGAGTTATGCAACGCGAAGGATTTAAACGGTTTTCGTTTTCCTAGTACATAGTAATATGAGACAACCGACCTAAATAACAATTATGTAAAATCTGCATGAACTTATGAGGATAATTGATAATAATTTAAAAAATCATTTAATAATATAGAGTGTGTTATAACATATTTATATGATTTTATATATAATTTAAACTAATCCCTATAAAAAAAGAAAATTCGGAATTTGTCCTGAAAAGTATGGAAAATGTCCGGAAATTTTCCGTGCGTCCGGAAAACATTCGGAAACGGTCTCGTTTTGGAACATTTTCCGGACGCTCGATTCTGGACAAATTCCGGACAAATTCTGGAGTGTCAAGAAAATGTCTGGAATTTGTGCGTCCGGAAAATGTTCCAAAACGTGACCGTTTCCGAATGTTTTCCGGACGCACGGAAAATTTCCGGACATTTTCCATACTTTTCAGGACAAATTCCGAATTTTCTTTTTTTATAGGGAATCTAAATTCTTTATTTAAAAATTTTTTAATGATATAGGGGGTAAGAACTTTAATTTTATAAATAATATGATAATAATAATAAAATTAATATTATATTAATGATAAGATATAAAAAAAAAGGAATCATATTAGTTTTTTAAATATTATTTTGTCTAGGTTTAATTCGAACATTTAATTCAGGGAACGCTCTAATAAGCACAAATTTAGTTTTCAAAGGAGTATCTTTAACTACTAATTCAATATCCAATTTATGATATATTAAAGCTATCATACATTTAAGTTCAATATAAGACAATTTCCTACCAGGACAAACTCTACGACCCCCACCAAATACTACATGAGGCATTAACTTTTCACTATTTTAGTTATTAAACCATCTTTCAGGATTGAATTTTTCAGGTTCATCCCAATATACTTCATTATTATTTAAACCATGAATATTTATAATATATTGTGTTCCTTCAGGCCATACGAGACCTGCCACAAAATCCTATGCGGTACTATTTCGTGCAGTGTAAGGTGCTGGTGTATATATTCTAAAGATCTCTTTAATTATTGCTTCAGTATAAACAAGTTGTGATAAACAATCTAAATCTAAGCGAAGATCACCTAATTTTTTAAAGAATAAATCCAATTCATCCCGAAGTTTTCTTAAAACATTTGGATATTTGTCCAAAAAGTAAACAACAAAAGTAAATAAATTGGCAGTCTAAAATGCAAATAAAGCGTTAGTTACACTCATCGCTAATGTCACGTGATTGTCCGGCGCAACAAAAATTTTGGCCCGTGACATTCAATATAATTCCTGAGCCATAGCGATAAAATAAAAATATATATTTACCGTATCAATTCCTGCAACAAATGTCTCCCATAAATTACCGCGAACTTCTTCATCAGTTAATGGTCTAATTGTATATACTTCATCATAATATTTCACTTCACAAATATCTCGATCAGTATAAGCGGTTAACATCGAGGTTAACATATCAAATCTTAATGGTTGATTTAAAGGTGTATATTCAATTTCTCTTCTTCTACTTTTAATGAGTTCATCAATTTTACTAAACAACCAATCACGATTTTGTAAATGTTTTTTAATTTCATTACTTAAAAAAGGAAAATATTTTCTAATGAAAGGCGGAACTATAATAAAGAAATAAATTCCAATAACTAAAGTTTTAATACTTTTAAAAAACTTTGTAGCATCCTTTAAATCATTAATAGATTTTCTTGGTTTTTTATTTCTAGATAATAATAATTCATTATAATGTGCTTCAATAGCGTGAACTCTCATTCCTGTAGTGAAATGAGTAATTGAATCTGTTGTAAACCTATGAGACCATTCTACAATATTAGTTATAAAATTTCCATCATCATCTTCTCCATCTTTCCAATAATCCATCATTTCTTCAACCAAATTTTGTGTCCAAATTACTGAATATTTAGAAAAACTTGGTGTAAGTAAAGCTCTAGAGATAAAATGTCGGTTAAATTTCCAAACATTTACATTATGATTTAATGCTATTCCTTTTCCTGCCACGTCTAATTCATCTAATCCTAAAAAATATGGAATACGTCTCATATATTTTGAATTTAATGAATAATCAAACATATTTTGAATATATTCATATTTACTCAACATGATAAATTTTTGTGAACCAAAATATATTTCAAATATATCACCATATTTTTTTTGCATTCGTTCAGTATATTCAGCAAATTCATCGAAACCACGATCTATAATATTTCCAACAAAGGGTAACGGAAGTGGTCCAGGTAATGGATTTTCACGCGTAAAATATTTATAATAAAAACGACATGTATATACTATAATTAATGTTAAAAAAATTAAAAACGTGTTATATAATCCAATTGAAAAAATGAGATTTGAGAGTGCCATTTTAGTTGTGAAAAATATTTGATTAATTTAACGAACTTTCCTTGTATATATATAATTATGTACAGTATGTTTGATTTTCCCAATCTTTCTAATCTTAGTAGATAATATTAACTCTGAAAATCTGTATTTATTAATAAGGATCATCGGGATCAGCTGGTCTTTTGATAACTCGTGAATGACAAAATGAATAAATTCATTTTATCTTATTTTAATTAATTCATTGAAAATTGGAAATACTTATTGTTATTAAAATAAAACTCAGTATTATGCTCCATATTAAGAATTTGATGAATTTGATGTTTTAAGTGATCCATTTCTCCAAAATAATCGTTAATATCCTGATGTATGACATACATGAATTTAAGCTTCATTACGCTCCGAATTTCAAACAGCAGATAAATCCGAAGTATCGTCATAAACTCAAAATTCTTTTTATTCTTATAAAGGTATATTATTATTATTTATGTTTGTGAGCAAATTAGTTTCGTTTTTATTATAAAATTTCGCATTTAGGCGCAAAAAACAGAGTTCAATAATTCTTGTATAAAATTATATTTCTATTTTTATCTCGATGAGTCAATATGATGCAATTAGGTATTCTTTTATTGGTAATATAATAAAATCATTATTTGTTTACCTAACAAGGAAGACTTATACTATTGTGGTAAATTACTGCCGTTGTAATAAAAAGTTGTATTCCAAAAAAGGAAGGAAGTATGTCTTAATTTGGTTAGCAAATATGTCAAAACAGGGGCCGTTTTTAATAAATATAAAAAAAGTAATATCAAATATTAAATTTTCATATGAATGATATACGAGTTTGGGAAAATGGATATTACTTAAATCATTAGCGAATTTAAATGCAGGGTATTTGGAGTATTTATTTATTTCATTTCGTTTCAATTAAATTAATTAAATTTCAATTTCAATTTCAATATATCCATTGATAAAATTGTGAATTTAAGTTGATCACAATGAAAATAATCTACAATTAAATTCACATTTTAGTATTAGTTAAAAGAATTAAAGCCGCATTTAATAACTACTATAAATAAATTTGTTACAATGAAACCACATCGGGAAATTTTTTTGGGGATAAATATCGATATTAAATGCATGTTTAATTTTATCAATAAATTTCTGTAGTGATAAATTATCAATCCTGTATAGATTTCAATCCTGTATAGATTGGTTACGGTACATTTCGCCGAAAGCCATTTCGCCGAAAGGACGGTTCGCCGAAAAATAGGGCCAACATTATGCAGAATTATAAATAACTCAGGCCAGAGATTATTTTTCGGCGAAATGTCCTGATACCGTATAGATTTGCGTTATGTAACATTAATTAAAAATAAGTAACAATAATCACGTGCATTATATCATGTGACACGTGTGACATGACTTTCCGTTAGTTAACGACGATAAGTTTATTTTTTTAAACTTTTTTTTTAGTTTAATCTTCTACCCTTTTTTTCCCCCTCCCTCTCACACTTTTCCTTCACCCACTTCACCCTTTTTTACGCTTTCTTTTTTCTTTTTTTTTTCATTTTCACCTTTCGTTTCATTTCATTTTTTCCATTTTTTTTCATTTTCCCCTTCATTTTATTTCTTTTTTCTCGTTCTTTTTTTTTTATTTTGCATTTTTTTTACTCATTTTTGGTTATTTATTTCCTTTTTTATCTCTTTCCGTTTTTCCGTCTTTCTAGCCACCCTTTATTTTAAATGATACTGTCTTTCCTTTCCTTTTTTTCATTCTTTCCTTTTTCCTCTCCTCTATTTTTCCCTTTTCACTTTTTTTGTTTTTCCTTTCCCTCCCTCTCTATCGTCCTTCCTCTCTTTCACACTTCCCTTTCACTTAAATTAAACGCTTTTCACAACATGAAAAAAATTATAAATTTGGTCACGTTTTTGTTTTGGTAGATCTCTAGTGAAAATGTTTTTCGTCTATAGTACTAATCTTTTTTTTTTAGGTTTTGTCTCATTTTGACCTTCGGATGCCTGGGAACTTGTTTCTTTTTAATCGGTCAAATAAAAAACACGTTAAAATTCAGTAGGAAAGGAAGGGAAGGATGAAATATTTTCTGGACTTTTTTTGGATTTAGCTCAGGATTTAGGTAAGAATTTATTTATCAATTTTTTTTTATTTTTAACGAACTTTACTAAAAGTTCATTTCTTTTTCTTTTTTAGATCTTTCAGGTCAGACGTTAGTGAATTTTTTTTTAAATATTTATTTTAACGAAACTTCTACTAACATTTCATTTTTTTTCTTTTGCAGATGGCCAATTCTTCAGTTTTTGGACGCGTGGGAAACTCAGAAGGTTTCTCAGTTAAATTTTTTTTTTGCTGTTTTCTTTTTTATAAATCATCCATATGATTATAAAATGTTTCTTTTTTTAGGCCCATAATGCTCATTTTGAAGGCTGGACTCCTGATTTTCTTTTTTTTTGATGGCAGGGTCTCTTAATGCGTGAAAAATCAGTATGAATAATCAGGTTTTTTTTATTTTTTAATGAAACGTTTATTAACGTTTCCTTTTTTTTTTTAGGCGGTTCTTTATCAAAATTTTGATAACATTTCGATCTCTTTCTTTTTTTTAGGAAGCTTTTTGGTCTCACTAATCGGCTTGTGGGTTTCAAGTTTGTTTACTCAAAAAATCTTGCCTTCATTATTTTATTGAAATGTTCCTTTTTCAGGTGGCCCTTCGGTTCTTTTGGAAGTGAGTTTGAATTTGGCTTAGTTTTTTAAAATTTAATCTAATTTTTTAACGAAATATTTGTTAACATTTCAGTTTTTTTTTTTGTAGGTTCTAGTTTCAACTTTTGGTGATAGACTGGTAAGTCTCAAAGTTGTAACTTTGAAACTTAATATTTTTTTATTTAATATAATGAGAAACGTCAACTCACGTTTCTTTCTTTATTTTTGTAGGTTGTGGACTTTTCACTTTTGATTGAATGGGAAAAGTGAAAACAGTAATTTTCGCAATACCTATTACGGGACTTGATTTATTTTATTTTATTAGAAAAAATTGCTTTCTAATGCATCTTTCATTTTCAGATATGGTAAATTCCATAATTTACAAGATTTGCTAATATATAATTTTTTATTTGAAACGTTTTCTAACGTTTTTCCTTTTTCTTTTTTGTAGGTTTTTGGATTTTGTTGGGTACTGGCTGATATGATCAGTTTCGAAGGTACTATTCGAAACTTTTTTTTAATTTATCTCTTTTAGCAAACTTTAATTAATGTTTACTTTTATTTTGTAGACTCTTAAATGGCTTTTTGGATGGAAAGTTTATGAAACATTACTCTGTTTTTATTTTGCTTTAGACGATAGGTTTGGATGGGAGTTTATTGTAGAATTTTTGATTTTTAGTTTCTTTTTTTCCTTCATATTATTAAGTAATAAAATGATGTATTTGCTAAATAAAAGTGATTAGTGACATTATAGTTAATAAACAATATATTGTATAATTATCAAATGATATATTTTGATATTTATTGTTTAGGTTATAGTCCGATAATTATTTGTTTGGTTAAATATCAATGATTATCATTTAAGTTTAAATATGATTCTGTTTATCCCTATCGATATTACTCGACGAGTCCGATTAATATCGATGTATGTCATGTGACCTTTCATCGACATAGCATATATCCCCTAGAAAAATTTCCCGATGCACCCTTTTTTTATGGATATAATTATAAAAGTGTGGTTTTTTTAATGGATTACACTTTTTTATTAATAATAAAAATAAATCAATTTACAATTGAAAAATTGAAAGATGATCATCATTTACGTTAGGGATCTCCTTATTTTATTATATATGTCCGATATGAGAGGGGAAGAAAGATAATAATAACATTACAAAAAAGAACGTTTTAGTTCTTTTATAATAATATTTGCACTTATTGTCCTGAACTTGAAAAACATGGAAGTGGATATGGCCCGCTGCTTTGTATCGGGGAACGTGACCTGTGATGTTGGTAACGGGCGTCCTTAACGTACAGTGGGGGTGTACAATTTTAACGTATAAACTGGCCCGAGATTAGGAGTTATGCACTTGCACGTGATAGCGTTAACGTTATATATATTGGTAACTGGTGTAACATTTAACTTGGTAAATTTTAAAAATAAAAATAAAAATAAAATTAACTTGGTAAAGATAGTGACTTTGTAACTTTATTCAAGAAAATTTACACTTTACATATCTAATAATATTAAATGTAATAAAATTTTTTATACATAAGAAAAAAAAATAAAAAAAAATATGAAATACGAGTTTGTACTGTTATAAAATGCTTCTAACTTCATCCAACGTTTATAAGAATACTTATATAGTCCATATCTGCTAAAAAACTTTTATTTTTTTTATCTTTAAATTATGTAAAAAGATAAATAATAAAACGATAAAGAAGAATATAGATTTTTTAAAAGATAACATATATAAACTGAAATTATTAATAAAAAATATGTAGATGACGCGTGAAGAAAAAATGATCATCATAAAGTGGCACATGGGTACAAAATTTTTTTTCACATTTGCTAAAAAAAAATCGGATTAATAGCCTGATGCCCGTGTTTCACGCGGTCTGCGTGCATTTGATGCAATATCCGACTTGTTTATAATAACGAGTTATATAATTTCTTAAATCCTAAACAAAAAATGCAATTTCTCAAATTCTAAACAAAAAGGTAATTTCTTAAATTCTAGATTAAAAATGCGATAGTTTCCCCCTCATTATATCTAATCTATAAATCATTAGTTAAAATAATTAATGAGGCACTTTTTCATCATAAAAAAAAAGGCAAAAAGAATTGAATAAGAAAATTATGAATGGAATTACGTGGGTCGAATAATTTTCTAAAAAGTATTCGCTTCTTATTTATAATATTTCCCCTATGCCTTCGAGATCTTAATTGAGTATCTCATTGTTGGAACCAATAAAATTACGTTACCCAAAATCATAACCAACTTAAAATAACACATAATACATAAACACATTTACACAAGAATATTTTAACGTCAATTACGGGTTACCCTTTATGGAGCCCAATTGTTGATATGATAGTTTAACGTCATTCCGGACCGCAGTAAATAAAATACTTTAAAATTTTATACACTTAAACTAAATATAATAATGCGCCTTATATTTTCGCAAACTAAATTTAAAACGGGTACAACCGGTTTGACCCGTTTCAACCCGTTTCAACCCGATTTTTGCAAAGCAACCCATAATTTCAGCTAAATTCATAATTCTGGGTCAATTGTAATTTAACAAATTCCAAATTAGGAATTTCATGTTGATCACAAATGATCACGTGACAATGGTTAAAAAAAAATATATATATATGAACCCGGAATCATTGTTAGAAACCGAATTTATAACCGGTTTGTGCAACCGGTTCAAACTCCAGTTCCTTCGCCAGAATGGCTTTGGCGAAATGACCTTCGGTAAAATGTCTATTCGGAAAAATGGCATTTCAGTGAAACATCCCTTCGACAAAATTTGCTTCAGCAAAATGGGCTTCTGTGAATTGGACTTCAGCGAAAATTCCGGATACTCCTCCCTAATTCGTTTCGTATTTATGATTATTTGTACAAAACGTCTAAAAAAGCACCATTTTGTCCGATTTATGAAACAAAAATTAAGAAAATGGTGCTTTTTAGACATGAGCACAAATATACATTTCGTTTTTACTGTTATCACTTTTTTAAAACCGTTTTTAGTAAGATTTCTGGTCATTAATCGGAACATATTTTATTAATGATTTTAAATTCAGAAACACTTTTAGGGGTCAATATTAATAGACATAGTTATATTCTAGATATGGAAAAAAATACGTTAAACACGATATTTGTTTTCGGAATGTACAAAAATAAATTGGTTTTAATAAATGCGTTCGTGATAATATGATGACTCGGGATTATTTTTTTCTGAAAGGGAGTCATAGCTCTTGGCAGAAAATCATTGAAAATCTGGTTTTGAAATTATATATAACCACTGCCACCAAAATTTTGTTTTACAGAATCGACTTACTACGCTTAGAAAAAGAAGCAGATTGAAACTTTAAACTCCCAAATTGACAACTACCCAAAATACTACTCCCTCAGGTCTATCGAACAACATTAACTAATATGAAACTTCAAATCTTTTACCTTCTTACTGTCCTTTTCATGTGTTTCTATATAATGGACGTTAAAGGTAAAATCCTTACATTCAATATGTTCTCCATTTTCTTTTCTAATGATTCAACTTTTTGGTTTAATGTATAGCATTTACTGTCATCACGGATTTGGAATTGGAACTCTGCAGATGTAGAATTTGGATAGAGGATTCAAATGGTTATCGCATAGCCGGTGACTCAGAATATCATGATTGTAGTGAACATTCCTACACTGGTGATGAACATGAAACTATTAATTTTCCAGACCAAACGTACACGGTTCATGCTAAAGTTCAAGGTAGTTTCGAGAAACAGAAAGTACGAGGATCTTTTAATGAAAATACCTGTTATGGTATATATGGCACTGTTGATGATTGGACTTTTGAACAAAGATCTTGTTAATCGTTTATTTGGATATTATCTCAGTATGTTGAAGATGTGAACCAATTAAATCTGTTTCTCTAGTTGCATAATTAATTACTTTCTAGAAATATGACATCATTAACAATTAATACAAAAAATTTTTAATTTTTCGGAAAATTATTTACCAAAAAATTTTACCGAAATTTCTCTGTGGCAAATAAATTTAATGCAAATTACTCATTATAATAACTTTCATAATTTTTATTATTATTTGCGAAAAATATAACTATATTTACCAATTTGGTAATGCTTTATATAATAAAATTATTATTTAACTATTAATCATTTTTCCGAACTAATCTGTTATAATATATTTGAACTAACCCGTTACCGGTTTTTACTCATTTCAATTATGGTATTGAATAATACATTTACAATTCCATGATCCACATTCTTATAAATTTCTAAACTAGGTAAGGATTCCCTTATAGGTGATTGATCCGCCGACAAAAACTAATTTTTTAAGGCCCCGTAAAAAGTCGATCAATTTTTAATATTCCATCTTTTTTTTCATAAAAGGCTCATGTTTCCGGAATTAATCACCTTATATCACGGATCATTTTCCGTGAAAAAATCCGCGAAAGGCCCATTTTTACGGAGTTTTTACAGAAACTGAATAACGGATAAAATATTTTATAGGAAGGACGTCGTTAACGGAGAAATATCAGACAGTATAAGAACCTAGTAGAGGATAGACAACAGGTTCCAAAAAATGATAACATACCCCCAGTAAAAAGTCATCGTATGAAATTGTACAGTTTTATTTAGTTTTTGTAATTATTGTCCAATTTTCATTCAATATTTGTAGAGTACTAGAGTTTAATCAAATTTTGTTTTTACTAAAATTTAAATGTATAATTTTTGTAAGATTTATTAAAATTTAAAATTTAAGACAATTTTTTAAATTTGTGGCTATTATTCAATTAATCATAATTTGTAAAATTTACTACATTCATATATTTTGTAAGAAATTTGTAAATTTGTAGTATAATTAGTATAAATTATTCGTCACCTTCACTATTTGAATCTGTATAACT